CGCGCCCCCCCCCCAACCCCCACGGCATGCCAAGCCCCTGAGCTGCAGCATATTCTTCCCCCAGCCTTCCTGAGCTCATGCTGCACCACAGCACCCCCCTTCCCCAACTCGGGCATGGCCTGAGTCAGCCCTCCCAGGCCTCCATCACCCCCAAGCAGCACCGCCATGCTCCTTACCTGGGACTCCCACCTCTTCCTGCTTAATGACCTCCACGTCTTGGGGTTATGACAGCAACTGGGATTGCCCAGATTGCCATCGCTAAGCTATGCGGTCACATGATGTCGCGCTTTACGACCACATCGCTTAGCGACAGAAATTCCAGTCCCAATTGTGGTCGTAATTCCAGGACTACCTAGTGGTGGTATCAATATCATGTTTAGAGTTTTATAGAGATTTCTAGTTATTTTTAAGATGACATAATTAACTTAGTTCTATAGGTTTAATTAATTAATCGATTCATGAAATGATGAATTTTAAATTTTATGAAAAAAATTATTTACTGATATTTTATTCTTATCCACTTTGCCTCTTCTTTTATTCTTCTTTTTCTTTTATGTAGCTGTTTATTCTATTCCTTTAAATGTTTTAATAAATAAACAACAACAAAAAGACTAAATCAAAATACAATTTGGATGACTCTGCCTTTTCTTTGTTACCTGTCATCATTTTGCAGTCTTCGCCACTCTTTTTATTTTGAACATGTCTAAAGAAGCCCTTTGTAGCATTCTTGGGATCTTTGGCCAATCAGAGCTCCTTCTCAGCTTTTTCTTTCTGGACCCAGCTCTGCCGAACTGTGTAATCTTTCTTTGTGACCTGTCCCTCTTTCCATTTTCTATATGTGTTCAGTTGATTTCTTCTGCTGTCTTCCTCCCCACCCCTTTGGAATTGTTTGCAGTTGTGATTTTGGTACATTCCACCCATTTTGAGCTTGTTTTCCTATCAATTTCTCCTCCCGTGGAACCTACTTAGCATTGCTGTGAGGTGTTTGGTTTCCATTTGTCAGTAAGAATGCAAACTCCATTGTTGTTACAAGGGTTTTCTGAGTTCCTAAAACACATTCTTGCGAATGTCAGTTGAGAAATGAATAGCTGGTTGCCCTTCGTCTTCAGCAAAGACTGCTGCACAGACTGTGTTCAGCTGGCGTGCTATCTCATTATCCTCTTTCAGATTTTCTTCGTGTCTTTTGTTATCCAGGGATTGGCTAAGTTATTTGCATTTTCCTGTGCCTTTTAAAATTTATTTACATAAGTTGTATATGTCTGTAATCCTTTTTGCAACTGTTATTGCCTTCTATTATGCAAATTTGTCTTCTTTGCTCTCATTCAGGCAGCATTTTCATTTTCTGAAGGAAGGCTTTTTCTCCTGTAATAGTTCCCCTGCCATTTCTCATTAACTATGCTAGTGACCTCTTGAATTTGCTTGTCTTTCCCAATCTGTGGTGTACATTCTGGTTGGGCTTTTATTAACCATGACATTGGAGGGGATTTTTGAGGCCATCCAACCTCCTGATCAAGGTAGGGATCCAGATGAAAGCATAGCTAACAGACGGCTGTCTAGCTTACAGACCCCCAGTAAACAAGATCCCATTGCCTGTTTGGGTGTTGTGGCTTCAGTAACACCCAAATATTTTGGACAGATTTGATCTGGACTTTCCCTTTCCCTTTGTTTTTTCTAATCTCCAGTGATTGCCTGCACGTGTTAAAAGTCACTAAAGGTCTAATCTTTCAGTTAGCCTATTTGGGTATACACTGCAATGTAGTATGTTTTAAATATACATATTTGGCTGCCAGCTGTTGATATTGAAAAATAAAGTGGTGTCCATCCATCTGTGGGCTGTTCTTTCAGGTTCAGGCAATATTGTTCTAGGGTGCAGTATTCATTTTTCCCATTTCCTCTGGGCTCCTTCTAAAATCTTTAATTTTGTTATGGTGGGCATAAATAGATCAAAATGTCTTAATGTACATGAAATAGATAATTGTCCATTTGTTAACTGAAATAGACCAGAAACTCTTTGCAAGAGATTTCTTGGATAAGAAGAATTTTTGATGGCCAAACTCTTTTATTCCAAGGTGTTTGAAGTCCATCATATTTTGATTACAGCAAACTTGCTTCAGCACTGCAAGTTCCTCATTTGTATTGACCTTTGGATGGCCTAATAATGGGCAACTTCATGGCTTTGGGTCAAATGGCAGCCTTTTTTCCTCTTCCCGACATCTATGGATACTGGGTGTTCCTTACTACAGACGTACTCAGTGCCCTTGATTGTTCACCCAAGAAGTGACTGGACTCAGTCCTGCCTCAGTGGCCCAAATGTGATATGTTTATTAATTGTGGGGTGTTATTAATTTGCATTTTGTTATGTAAGTAATACTTAAGGGATGGCTGAGCAGCTTCAATTCAGCTGTTTCTCAATGAGAGTGTTGAGTCTTTTGAGAACACAGTCTAACCAAGATGGGAAGCAAAGTTAGATTTTCCTTCTCTGTCACTATTTCAAGGCATCCTAAATGGAATGGATATGGCACGTATCATGTGGCCTTAAGTCAGAAACACCAGTAGGAAAATTCCTTTATTCTGTCCTTATGTATTGATTTTTTATTGGACCAGAGTGCCCTCAGTGGCTCAGAACAGCAGCAAAAGACAATTCCATTTTAAAAGATTCTGAGTTAAAAATAAACACTGAAAAGAAAGGGCTATATAAAGGTAGGTAGGCACATGGAGTGAAGGACAATTGGAGAATGGAATATCATGGTACTGAATGCACATAAGCACAGCACAGAAAATAGTGAGTCTCCAGCCTGGGGGTATTTATTTCTTCTGCCAATAAGCCACATTGTACCAATAGAAGAGAATATCTGTAGCTCACGGTTGAACTGTGGAGTCTGTGGGATTCTCTGAGCTTGGTTGTTTTCTTGCAGACGTTTCATTACCTGGCTAGGTAACATCTTCAGTGCTACCTGAAGATGTTACCTAGCTGAGTAACAAAACATCTGCAAGAAAACAACCAAGCTCAGAGAACCCCAAGGACTCCACAAGCCAGATTGTATTCATCTGGATAGTCCTGGAGGATTTAAATGTGCTTCAACTGAGGCAGGACATGTCACCATGAATTGAGCTCATTGGGTTTTCCTACATGTAAATACAAGAAAGGATGGATATTGTGGCATTTTTCACCATTTAGGGTCTTTTTTCCTTCCCATTATAGTACGGGATGCTAAAAATCTTGTTCCTATGGATCCCAACGGCTTGTCAGACCCATATGTGAAACTCAAACTTATACCTGACCCAAAAAATGAGAGCAAACAGAAGACGAAAACCATCAAATGTTCTTTGAATCCTGAATGGAATGAGACCTTCAAATTGTGAGTATTGCTAGATGCAATATTTGAATGTTGGGGGGGGGGAGTGATTTCTGGGGCATCTACATCTTAAAACAGAAGGCCAAGAGAGGGGAGATACTGGTGGGTGAACATCTCATCTCATCAGTAGCTCCAGATCCTTGACTCTGTAGGAAGCCAGAAAGAGGCTATAGCTCAGACAGAACCCATGCAGAAAATCTCACTTTCAGGTACCAGGTGAAGGAAAAGACTTCCCCCAATTGCAGATTTTTGACAGCTTTGATTCCATAGCACAGACAGTTGTGATCTAGATGGAACTATGATTTTCCTCATAGGGAGGTAGCTTCAAATAAGTTTTGCTCCCTGCCTATATTTTTTGGGCAATCTTTTCAGATTTCTTCCTCAGTGGGGGCCTGCTGCAGCATAGCATGGGAGACGTCCATTCTCAAATTCCTCTGTGCCAACACTGCCATTCTGCAAAGAGGCGTAGTGCTGGCAAGGAAGGGAGTCATGGTGCGAGCTCCTCCCGCTGAGCTTCAAGCTGTCAGGGTGACCATTGGGACAAATCTACTGCCATGCATGAAAGTAAAGCAAGATATGGCATTTTCCTGCATCATTTCACCTCCATCTTCTCTCTGTTTCTTGTTGCCTAACTTTCTGGGATTTTCAGGGGGTCTCCATCTCACATCCAACCCTCCTTAATTTCTTATACTTCACAGCATCAGATGCTCTCAAGCCATGACTGTAGCTACCTGCAACTTCCCTAGAATTAATACAGATGAAAATTTGCTGCATTTTAATAATTGAGAACTGGGAAGTGGGGATGAAGAAATTTTCCCCCTCTCCTCCTCCAGTTGGTGTAGATAAAAAAAAAAAAAATACTATAATGTTGTGGGACTGGAAGCTGACATTTTAAAATATTTTTATTTGAAAGGGCCAGTGTCTGGAAATTCAGCATTATGGGTACACACTGCTCTTGAAGACCACCACTTCCCAATTATGGGGAAATGCATGGAAACTTGCAGAAGGCAGCCCCCCCCCCAATATATCTATTTTAATATTTTGTTTTCCTTTCCCCCCTTCTTTTTCCCTCCCCCTTTTAAAGAGCTCGTAATG